AAGTCAGTATAAGATACGCGTGTTTTATTTCTGGTCAGTATGAACAACGGCTTGAATAAGTCAGTATAAGATACGCGTGTTTTATTTCTGGTCAGCATGAACAACGGCTGGAATAAATCATTACAAGATACGCGCGTTTTATTTTAGTAATAACTCGAACAAATTGCCCTTCATTTCAGATCCTAAAAAGCCCTTGATGGGTGCATTACAAGAAAGGCAAGGAGTGATAGCTTTACCTGCTGACCGTCCCAGCCAAGCAATAGTAGACGTGTCTGAGAACATGCGTGCAAAAATTTTTGCTTTGTTCTGTAAGATAGGTATGTTATCCATCTCGTAAAAATGATTCGCTTCTAATTCGCCTTTCAGCGGTATTTATGTGGTTTCTGTCTCATATGCGAGTGCAGTTGGATTTTGGTTCTCTTCTGTGCTTTGAGGGTTTTTTTCCTGTTGAAAATCAACTTCTAAGACGCAATTTGATCTTTGAACTTTCCACTTTGAACTAGCTAGTGTACGCGCGCTCTTTCCTTTTGTTGTTTTAAACACTAAAAACGTGAAGTTTTTTATCGTTTTTAGTGATCAAAACAACAAAGGAAATAATAGTTGACGGACGGGACTAGGGAAAGGCGAAATTCAAACTGCATCCGGTTTCTAAAAGTAGCCCAACTGGGAATGTGCATGGCGTGTGTGATATTAAGAAGTTTCCCTCTCTTATTTATGCTTGGTACAGTGCACTGTTGATACAGTCCTTTGACTAAACGTTGTCGTTTGATCGGCTTCATCTCTACGCGCCTAGACCGAAAAGGATCATAAGGATAATTAATTCACAGTTACTAGCTGCCGCATATGTTATCTAACACGTCTTGAGCTCGCTGTTTTCGATCCCATTTAATTTGCTGAAACCATGCCTCGAGCTTACGGCGAAGATTTAAACTGGCGAGCAGTTGGGATGACACAATATCTGGGTAATTTACCCGTTTTCCTTTTCGGTCTAGTCGCGTAGGGATGATTCGATCAACGACAACGTTTAGTCAAAGGACTGTATGCAACTTGCAAAACGTGATTCCTCTTACCATCCTACTGACTGGTGATTTATTTATGTAGGGTTTAACGCTGTTCCAGGGTTATCGCCTGTTGATTACGTTACTGTCGCAATCATTGAAAAGTACCTCGACTTCAAGGTAAAGGATGATTTATGTTAACAGACGTGTGATCATTTTGCACATCAGTATACTTGACACTAAAGCACCTTAGTGCTTAAAAAACTCTCATAAAGTTCAAAGAATATCCCTACAAAAATCTATTTGTTCATACAAAATAATTTTTTTTTWAAAACCGACATAACGTAGATTTTTAGAAGTTTTTTCGAACAAGCTCATAAAAAGTATAGATTCCCCTGCAAAATTTGAGGGTTTCGCCCTCTTGAAGCTGAAAACGTGTATGGTTCTTCGATAAAATCCTAAAGATTATTCAGCGGTTTTTGAGCGCTCAAATCGAACGGTCAAAAGTAGGCAGTCACAAGGTCCAAAGAGGATTTGCATCACCACATGATGGCAGCCATGACAGGAGGCAGGAACAATTGAATTTGGTATAATCTGGCTTAAGTAAGAAAAACTTCAGTTTCCCAGGGAAAAGACTGTCGTTCTGCCTCCTGTCATTGCTACCATCGTACTTGTCTTCGATTTACAAGGGTAGCATACAAACGGATGGCCCACATTCCATGATCAAATTGGAATTTAAAAGCTGATAAAAAGCCGGAGAGAAAACCCCGAGAGAACCAATACCTGTAATGGTGAGTCTGGGCATCGAACCCATGACAACAACGGCGCATTGCCAGTGCACAACGTTCTTGCTCATACCTTGATCATGATAGTACATTGACAAGAAACCTATGATGACATGCATATTGTAATTCGTTGTTGTAATGCTGTCTTGTTACGACGCAGATGTCAGAAACATGGAGAGAAATTAAAGAAGAACTAGAACAAGAAAATATTCGACCAGTTACACCTGACGCGGAATGTTTAAACGAAATCACCAAGATACTTGACGAGAGAACCTATGGAATAGCAGCAGCTCAGGTATGTTTGTTTATGGCTTTGTGTCGCTCTACTTTAGGTTATTAACAGAATATTTTATTTGTTGCTATTATTTTCCAGGTTCAATTGGTGCAGGATGAACGAAGTCAGGAGCTCATCGGGGAGGAGGAACACTACGAAACGGTTGGTACTGTGGGCAATAAAGTACCACTGGCACTGTTTGCGTTTTGATAACTATATTAGTAGTATAGTAGTATGGTAGGGTGTCGCAGTGTCCTCTGCATATGACGTCACTAATATAGAACCTGACAAACTTACCCTTTTGAATGTATTAGTAGTATAGTAGTATGGTAGGGTGTCGCAGTGTCCTCTGCCTATGATGTCACT